AAAATACCTGATATAAAAGTGTTAGAAGCAATACTTTGTGAGATTACTTCTAAAGAAAAGAAGGTTATTCCACTCTGTGGTAGCATGCATTAAAATAAAGCAAAGTACAGTTTCTCAAACAGGCTAGTAATACAAAATATTAGCTTTTTTAATGTAACTAAGAAACCAAGTGTTCTTAAAACATACAGAACTGGCCCACTGCTTAGGCAATTCCTAATCTTCTTAGCATCTAACTGGATGAGCTTGCAAGACCTTACATTTAGGGGGGGAGGGGGGGAAGCCAGCAGCTGTCAGATTTTTTACATCATCGATTAAGAAATACTGGGAAATTAAATTCTGGAGGGAGATCAGACTGCAAGTACTTCCTTCTCACCCTTTACATACACACAAAGGGCTTTGGGTCTTCATTATGGCAACACGTATTTTCTGTTGTCTAAAGACAGCCCAAAAAAATCCCAAAGCTCTCCAAAACCTATGCAAAGCAAGATCAGGACCTGTTCAAAACAGAACTACAGCTGATTGTTAAGAACAGGATAGACAATACAGCATAAGTAGTGTACCTATATACCTGACATGCTGGGGGAGGGGGGGGGAAAATCAAAGTTGCCACCAATAAGGAGCTTAATAACAGGTTAATGAGCAAGGTACAGCCCATTAGAAAGCTAACAGAGATGAACCTGTGACCACTGCAACAGCACAAGCAAGCAAGGGGTTCAAACACCCAAAACAGTCCTTACCACAGGTCTCTAAATACTAAACACTCTATGGCAAGGCTAATAACTACAGCTCAGTGTTAACTACTTCATCCTACTATTAAAAGGACGTGATATAGAAAGTTAAAACCAACAAGAACAATGTCTATAGTACTACTTTTAAAGAAGTGTATGAGAGTATACAATAAAAAAACAAAGGTTAGAATCAGGCTGCTAGATAAACTCCACTTTGTGCTGATAATTACTATGAACTATCCTGCTCTAGTAAACAAAACCTACATGAAAAATACAGTGCCAAGTCAAGCTTCACCAATGGGCAAGACTGACTAAATGTGGCTCCTGAGAGTGTCAGCATGAGAGATTTTGGGAGAGCGAGACACAGCTGGTGTGTCAGTGGCCACTCTGCAGAACACCAAGAGTCAGCATCACAACCAAGGGGGAAGTCAAGGCTTTCCATGCTCATTCTCCAGCTCCATCCACTGGCCAACTTGTCTTAGAACTAAAAAAAGCTGTAATTTAAATAGTTAATTCAAGTCAAAATACAGTTATGGAGTACATAGAGCCAAATAAACGATATCTACAACTCTTTATTACCTTACTGAAGTTCAGGCTAGTTTAAAAAAACAAAATTGACTCAGTTATCTAGTTTCTCAAGAGTGCACCAGAGCTCACGTGTATTGGAGAAGAAAAAAAACAGTCATTTCAGATCCCCTCCACATCTGAACAAGAAACTTCTCTGACAGATCACAACATTTTCAGAAAAACTGTTTGCCTATTACAAAGCAATAACAAATACATTAGGATTTACGTTAACTAGAAAACAGTAGTAACTCTTGCTACTATCAATTGAATTGCACAAATCCTTTATCAGCAATGACTAAAAAGAAACATTTTCACCAGCAGTCTTGCTTCCAGAGGTTTAATGAAATTCTACTGTGTTGCCATTCAGTGGCAGAGCAGCTTCAAAGTAGGGTGTATTGCCAGACACAAACACATTTATTAGAGCTGAAAAGTGATTACACACTATTAGAAGAAAACACAAATTACTGCTTATTTGTTTAGACATAAAGTGCATCCCTCCTTTTTCAATAAGTAGACAATTGCTTTTATGGAGAAAATGGTACATAAAATGCTAGGCAAACTTTAAAATGCACTTACTAGTCTGCACTAACTCCCCTCACAGACACTCAAGAGAGCATCAGGAATGCAAGATGCTTTCCTCCACTTCCAAGCTACAGTTGCCTGCACTGCACAAAGTCACAATGGACAGTACAAAAGGAGATGATCTTACCAATCACTCTTCTGCTGCATAACATTCTGTATGTAACCAGAAAGAAAACAAAAGTTTGTGTGTAGCAATTTGGCTGTAGCAACGAACAGTACACACGTGAAGACAACATTTCCTTTACTGGTAGTATCTGACGATTAAATAATAGAGGGGGGGACCTGTTTACACAAACTTAGTTATAGGATGTTCAAAATCAACTACTGGCAAAAGTTCTCTTCTTATGCCATTCACCACCAAGTAATAAATAACCTCTAGAAGTCACCTAACACAAAAGGCAAAAATGAAAATACATAATTTTCCTTAATGTGACTTAGCATCTTGAAACAAGGTAAAACTCCTTCGTGGACTTCAGTGGGGAAGCTAGCAGGGTAACACAGCATCCCATTAACCAGCTGAGAAGAGAACTTCCCACACTCCAAGTGCTTTTATTTACAAGGTTGTCATTACTGCTATTCAAAGACTATTATAAAGTTACCTGTGCAAGAACAGGGAGACATAAAAAAGGGTTTGAACCACACATGTAAGCAAACATTGACTATGTACTCAAACACAAGGAGGGAGGATAAGCAAATTCTCTGTAGATGAGAAATTGTTATGCTTTAAGTAAGGCAACAGGTCATTAAGCAGTTGTGAAACACTCCTGACTCCTTCCTATACATTCTTTGCTGAAGAAAATATTAACATAGCATAATCCCAAATATGATGTGGTACACTTACAAATGTTATCAAAAATACCAAATTTCCCATTTTAGCAGAGGGTTTGATTTTCCAGATCAGTTCCTCATACTATTTAAACCAAAATGCCTCAATTCTCAACTATACCACCACATGAGCGTATCCTTACTACCTGGCTGCTAACAAGTTCTCCTGTCTACCTACACACGCTCATCTCGGACCTGCTGGTGGACAATCTGCATTTTCAGCCTGTGTTCCACAAAACCTTGGGCAACTGTGGATGGCTAAAGGTTCCCAGACAGCTAAAGGTTCCCATGCAGGGGTCTGTGCTCCTGCTTGAAGCTTTAAAGGCAAAGTTTCACACAGTTAGGACACCTGTGACCTAATCTTCCTTCCGTGAGGTAATTTCATTAATGCCCATTAAGCTCAGTGTCCTGCCTTCCCCCCTCCACACCACAGTGGGTCAGAGCATGGCATAAGATGTAAAGGTCAAAAGCACAGGGTTAGACACTGTTTCACTAAACATGTGCCACGCTGTGCTACCAGCCTACAATCTGGTGTGAAAGCCAGCTAGGATACTGTATTTTCCTCTCAAGCACTCACAAATTCCCAATTCCTTACAATTTAAAGGGAAAATTTTAAAATAACAGTTCATTGGTCACAGTTCTATAATAATTTATGCTTCCTATGTTGTTCTCAGTGTCAGTTACCTTCTATCCTCACACTTCTACTAATTTCTGTCCCAAACACTGTGCTCTGCTTCTTTCCTTATTTTCCCCTCCAGTCCCTTCAACACGTCTCATCCATTCTTTCTGGTGCATAAAGCATGACAAATATGTGGAAAATTCGCCAAGTGATGAGAGCACCCTACTGCCCAGGTGCATCTCCCAGAGGAAAGTGAAGATATCTGTCTTCTTCTGTGGAAGGGGAGGAGCAATCCATCACTGGTGGTTCCACAGGCACCCTAAAAACTTGTCTAGAGAACATAAAGATCGTTTGCTCTCCTTGCTCTTTCTAGCTATGCCAAGAGCGCTCACTGCACCACGACTGTGCTATCCCAGCCTCTCCTTTAGGCTCTTCTCCACAGTTAGCAGCTGCACTCCCTCCAACACAGTAGAGAATGGAAGCAAACTTGCTCTTGACAGCTTCCCTGCTGCTCAAGGACTGCTGTCTTCTGGAGAGCAATTCAGTTCCTCAAAATCTGAAAGGTCCACCACATTACTCAAAGAAACTACTTAGTGCCCTGTCAGGGATTTCCAAATAAGGAATATTTTACACATCTACTTTCATGAGAAGTCTTATGAATTCGATTGCAGAAGAAGCAGCTGAAGACTTTAAAAATGACATCACTGCAAAGCTATAGGCATTTTCAGTTACTCATCTCTGAGGAATTTCAGAGAAGCAGCTTACTGCAGAAGAATGTGGTAAACAAAACAAAAATCCTTACTTAACACACAATACAAGCTACAAAGAATAAATAAAAGAGAAAGGAAATATGGTATCCTAAGAGTGGTAAGACACGTGACAGAAAGGGAACACAGTACCTGAACAGTGGTAAGATACTCAGTATCTTTTAATCAGAAATGAGGATGGAGTCAAAGTAAAGATGCCACTTGCTACTTCTGCTACAGCATTATCACTGACCATTTCATTGTACTCAGTATATAATGGAATCTGTCCTGCAGTACGTGCATTTATAAAACCAAACATTCTATTACCAAAAGAACCAAGGGTTCCCCCAGGGTTTTACTTAGCACAGTAGTGGCAATACTTATCAACTTTTAGATTTGCCCAAGGTTAAAGAAATTCAGCAAACCAGAAATGAAGAAACACCATCTATCATGGGATCTCAAAAATATTCCCTGAAGAGGGAACTTCATCCTTTCTCACATTAAGTAACAATCACCTTGCCTCTATACGTAAGCAGAAGCCACAAGTCTTGTCCAAGTGGCTCACCAGTAACAGAAGATTGGGCTCCCCAAATCCACAGTGTTCCCACAAAGCCACCCTTCTACCTTTTCCAAAGATAGGTATCATGGTCTTGTCACTGCACACCTGCCAGGATCCCAAACTATTTGATACCTACTATTTCCACCATTTAGTTTTATGTAGCTTGGGGCACGTCAATCTCACTGTGCATTGCCTTCTTCACCTATTAGAAATAAAAAACACGCTTACCTTCACGGAAAGCTTTTGCTATCAGACAAGTAACGTACAAGCTACTGTAAAAGTAGCAACAGGAATCCCTCTGTAACTCTTAAAAGCAAAACAGCAATTCCAATGCACACATACCAATGTAATGTTGAGGATGGGGGACATCTTACCTGATTTTATAATTGGGTAAGGTGTGCTTGCGCTTAATCACTTTCTTGAACTGGTTCACAATGATGGAAGTGAGCTGAGGCATGGGCCTCCCTTCAAACTGAGACTTCACTTCGAACACTATCACAGGGTCATCCATAAAAGAGAAGGACCAGTGTGTGAAGGGCAGGCGCGTGAAGACCAGCTTCAGCTTCCCCATCACCCGGGAGATCTTGACAAAGAGGTAGGCCGACTTGCCAAAGACCAGATCAGCATCAATGGCCAAGTGGAAGCCACCGTTGTACTCCAGGTCTACCTCAAACCCCAGCTCCTCTGGGCAGCCCTCTTCATTGCAGACCACCGGCCGAATGAGCTTGACAGCTTTGAAGATGGGCAGGACGTTACCGAGAGAGACATCCCTGAGGCTGAGCCCCTCCAACACCTTCCCGGTCATCTTAGCCTGCAGCAGCTCCTCGAACTCCACCTTGATCTTCTTGGTGACCCAGTTCCTGACCAGGGCCGTGTCCCTGAGCTCCCTGAAGAGGAAGAGGAAGATAGCATTGAGGAAGTGGCACGTCTCCTCGCGGGAGGAGGGATCCGGAGGGGGCTCTGGCTGCTGCTGCGGCGGCGGCTGCTTGGCGCTGGGCTCAGGGCC